AACTAAAAAACCATAATATGTATAAATTGTTGAATGGAAAACCGGTGTGCCCTATAAATGTAAATCACCGTAAAAGTTACTTTTTTTCAAAAAGACCTGAAAAGTATGACATTCATAAACAGTAATCCGTACCTGAAACATTCCACTTCGACCCCAGCTGATATTTGTGATAAGACTGTTGGCACTGCTACGCTGTGGGGTTGAGGTCCTGGCCTGGGCATTCATTTCTTTTATGAGTTCTTTTTTTTTTTAAAAAAAGTAAAATTATGTTATGAGTTCTTTAAAGAAGAGAACATAGAAGGATCAACAGAACAATCTGAATGCAGGCTTCTCTGACATTGAATGCAGGCTTCTCTGACATCGTTAACATTCTTTACTCAGTCTCAAGTAAGCTGTTATAATTTCTTTAGGAGCCTACTTTAATCAAGTCTGAGTAGCCTGGAAACTTTCTTATTCATTATTCAGTGAGTTACATATTTAATGATGCACAATAGTAAGTCAAAGTGGCATAAATCCTCTGGAGGAACAAAGCAACTGGCACTGGTTGGTTGATTTTTTTCTTTTTACTGTGAATGAAAGTTTACAAAGCAAATTGCTTTTCCATTCAACCGTTCATTAACATTTTGTTTAACGACCTTCAGTACAAGACCTATGGTGTTGCTGCACTCTTCCCACTTCTCCCTTGTGATTCTTGTTCCCATTCACCCTTTGGTACCACCCCTTCATGCTCTCTGAGCTTTATTCCTGAGGAAACAGCCCTTCTGCTCTTAGCTTGTTGATTATCCAATGGAGTAAATGCCTTCCTGGTGTTACTGTTCACTTTATTTGTTGTTGTTGTTATGTGAGTTGACTGTGACTCATAGTGACCTTATGAACAACTCGGAACCCTGCCCTGTCCTGAGCCAGACTCACCATCTCTGACACACCTGACCCATTGCCACAGGCACTGTGTCAGTCCGTCTCATCCAGGGTTTTCTCTGCTGACCCTCCATCCTTCCAAGCATGATCTCCTTTTCCAAGGACTGGTCCCTCCTGTCAACAGACCCAAAGTATGTGCGATGGAGCTTCAAAATCCTTGCCTCCAAGGAGCAACTTGGTTTCACCCTCTCCAGAACAGACCTATGTGTTCTCTTGGCAGTCCATGGTATGTTCAATATTCTTCTTCTTAGAGGCCTATTATTTGACTGAAGATTGAGCTTTGGGGGTGAATTTTGTTCCAGGTTTGAATGGTAACTAAGGGTCATATAGCCTTCCAGATTCCATTATTTTCTTCAGATCTGTACGCCTGGCTATTTTAATATTACTGACCCATGTTTTTCTCTCAACCCATCCAGGATTTTCCACTGTAGTAGTAGAGCTGTTTGTAGGTGTCTTTGAGTCAAGTTCAATCTACAGTGATGTAGACAGATCTGAGCTCTGCCCTGTCCTCACCCTCTCTGACACAGTTAAGCTCACTGTAATGAGTTCATTGCAAAAGGTGAAGAAGCTCTGTCACCATATCAGTCCAACTCATTGAGAGCCTTCCTCTCTTTCGTTGACCTTATACCTTTCCAAGCATGATATCCCTTTCCAAGGAATAACCTCTCCTAGCCACATGTCCAAAGCATGAAAGACGAAGTGGTCAACAACATAAGAGGGGCACCCACTACTCATCTGTCAGTTTGTTGTGCTGGGGTAACTTACGTGTTACTGCGGTGCTGGAAGCTTTGCTGCTGATAGTTCATCTTCAAGCACATCACTTGTGATGGGCAGGTTTCAACAGAGCTTCCAGGCTAAGACTAGGAAGAAAGGCCTGGCTATCTCCATCTGAAAATTCACTGATGAAGACTTTGTGGACTGCAAAAGAATATTGTTTGGTAGAGTGTTGGTTGGAAGGTGCCGCACAGTGGCGGAAATGGACTGAAGCAAATCGGGCAACATTTTGTTCTGTTGTCGTTAAAGCTGAGCCTACTCAATGATAACTAATAACAAAAAGGGTCAAACCATGGCCCCCTTTCCTATCAGGGTCTGCTCCCAGCACCCATGACTTTGCCGGGTGTAGTAATCCTGCCCCAAGGGGGGAGATCTTGAGTACAGCCAAATGAACAAACAACCTTCAGGTGAAAGATTAATCTTGTCACAGAAAAGGCTGCCTAGCATTTCTGGTAAAGTTAAGCTTTTGTTTACAGATCATTAACTGTGTAATTAATTTCTGTTTTCCCAACAAGCCCTGAAAGGGGAGGCCAGCATCTGTCTTACTCACTCCTGTACTTCTGAGGCTTAACATAGAACCTGGCCTCTGGGCGCGCTCAGTAAATATTTGATCATTACATGAGGGGCCAGCGCCACTCCTACCCTATCCCCACAAGGCTTCTGTCTTAGCCTGGGGTTCCAGAAAACCGAACCGGAGGCTTCTGTGTTGCTCTCTCTTAGGAGTTCAATCCAGGGGTGCAGGGGTGAAGTGGAAGGAGCCAGGGAGAGCAAGCTCAGGGCCCGTTACCAAGTTGGGTGCCACTTGGCAGCAAGCATGACTGGTGGTGGGGTCTCTAAGTATCATCTTCCCACAGGTGACCCCAGAAACAGGCGAGCGAGACAGCGCGCAGAAAGGAAGAAAAATGCACCCCCTGGCTTCCAAGCTTTGGTGGTCAAGTTCACCCATGAGTCCACTTCTCTGTGCGTCTGGGTGGCTCTTGGGGAGGACAAGAGTGCCCCAAGTACTATCTCCTTCCTCAGCAGCAGAGCAGCCCAAGGCGGCAGGCAGGACATTGCAGGGGACATCTAGGAGCTGGAGAGAGTCCACACTGGGGGTCCCTGCAGTCAGGAGGAATGATTGTTCAAAGACCCAGACACAGAAGAGGCCAGGAGAACCTGGGGAGCCACAGAGAAAGGTTTGATGGATCCCCGGGGGTGTGCTTGTCCCACCCATCTGCACTTGTGATGCTGTGTGCGGGCTGGGTGTGGACTTTTGAGTCCATTTTGGCGTCATGTGTACATCCACCTCACCAGCGGCCCCTCTCACCTTCACAGACACTCTACCAAACAGTGTCCACCTCTGGTCTCCCTTGATGTTGTATCCAAGGCCAGTGAGCCAGATATATTCTGTTAATGATCTGTAAAGTTTTCCTTGGCTGATTTTCTAGAAAGAAATAACTAGACCTTTCTTCCTGTTTTCCTTTAGCCCCACTATCCACTCTGGATGATCTTGGTGGCCTTTGAAGTACTGGGAATACAGCTTTCAGCATCACAGCAACATGCCAAACGCCACAGAATGGCCAACCGATGGGTGGGGGGTGGGAGCACAGGCAGGAATTCCTTAATCATGGATATTCGTCATGCATCCCTGTTCCCTGGGTCCTCTTCCCTGAACTTGGACCATTTAGTCAAAGAATTCCCAATTCTAAACCCTCCCCAACTTTCTTATGCATGGCACACAACCCGAGAGGTGGTCTTCCTGTGGGGCTGTTCCCCTGCTTGTCCCCTCTCCTTCCTGACATCCGTGCGTGTCATCTACAGTTCTCTCCCAAATTCCCTCCATCACCGCCCAGCCTTCTTTCCCCCCTCTTGGGCACGGTAACATAAGAGGGGGCAAAGAGGCATTTGAAAGATGTAGTGGAACGAGGATTTTGAAATGCAATAAATAAGGCTGTCCAAGAGAACGGGAGAAGTAAGCCGGCTGCTGCTTTTGCTACTGGAAGAGCCTTGTGTAGCAGTCATCAGATTTCGCTCACCACCTGGCAAGGGCTATAAATCATCTTTACTGTAAGCAGCCATTTGTCTCACAGGATCTTAGCCAGACAGAAGAAGAACAAACTACAAACAAATGTGGATGCCTTTGGTCAGATGCAGGGGGCATGCCCTACCCTAAGCAGGGCTTCTCTATATGAAGATCATGGTCTCCTGTGACACTGGCTAAGAATGAAATATATCACTTTGGGATGCTTTTGGCTGCAAGTAACAAAAATCTTTTAGACTGGCTTAACCAATGAGATGACACCCTCATGTAACTTGAATTGAAGAGGTGAGATAGATTCAGGGTTCGTTGATTAAGTGACTTAACATTACCACCAGAGACACGGGTCACTTCATTTCCCTACTGTGTCCACTATATCGGCTTTGTCTTGATACTGGCTTGTCTTTCAGTCACAAGATGTAGAGCCGCATACTTCCTGTCACGCAAGAGATAGAACCTCGTTTCCTACCATATGCATGAAAAGGTCCTCCTTTCTAAGTCGACTTCTGCAAGAACGGTCTTACACAGTATTTCTGCAGTAATGGTCTTACACAGTATTTGTCCTTATGGGACTGAGTTAGTTCACTCAGCATAATGTTCTCCAGTCCCTCCCAAGCGGCATAGTATTCCATTGTGTGAATGTACCACGATGTCTCAATCCATTTCATTGTGGTTGGACATCTGGGCAGTTTCCATGTTCTTGTGATGATGAAGAACGCTGCTCCGAGCATTGAGCGAGCTCTTGTGGTGTGGTCTATGGGGAGCTGCACTGCTAACCAATGGCTGGCCTTCTCTGGTGGTTGTCAGAGAAAGATGGACAGTCTCTTCCCTGGCAATCTCCAGCCTTGAGAACCCAGTGGAATGTCAACTACGAGTCAGTTCTGACTGAGACAATGAATTGAGTCATTTGAGTTGGAGATTCTGTTACTACATGTATTTGTTTTGGGGACACAATGAGTACATGACAGTTGGAGGAATGGATGCTAAGAAGAGATGCAAGGATGGCAGGATAGATGAAGGCAGGTATGAGCAAAGGAGGGGATGGATGGATGGATGGATGGATGGATGGACTGACGTCTCCGTGGGTCCTGGCGTGACTCTTGGTGTTACAGATGCTGGTGGGTTTGGAGATGATGTTTGAACTTCCCAGGTTGTGGTTCTCCCAGCTAGACGAAGCCACACCCCTGCATCTGCCTCCTGTGAGCCATCAGGCCGTGGCTTCTCTCTCCTCTGGGTGGGAAGCGGACTGGAGGCCTTCTTGTGGGCTGAGCTGAATATTCTGTGTTTGCAGTTCAACGTTAAAAAGTCCACGGAACCTGTCCAGCCCCGAGCCCTCCTCAAGTTCCCAGACATCTATGGACCCAAGCCAGCGGTGACGGCCCCAGAGGTCATCAACTATGCAGACTACACCCTGAGGACCACAGAGGAGCCCCCAGCGCCGGCCAGCCCCCAGGCCCCAAATGACAGCCGCCTCAAGAGGCAGGTCACAGAGGAGCTGTTCATCCTGCCGCAGAACGGTAGGGCATTCCTGCAACCTCATTCTTCTAGGTCGGTGCCTCAGCAGCTCCCAGGGTTGGGACGAAGCAGAGTCAATGGGCTGACTTCCCTGAACCAGCCACACTGTCCCATCACACTTGATCATAGTGGGTGGAGATTGCTTTTCATTTTGGAGGCAGGGACCCCCTGAGAGCTGAGATTCTAGGGTCAGTAAACACTTTTCCAACACTGACACTGCTGTGCTCGTCTGTGTAAGAAAGCCACTGGAAATACAGGGTCCCATGCACACATGTATCTCACGTTCCATGCCCAGGCCTGCCTGCTTCTTCCTCAGCTGCACATGGAACATTCTCACTCGTTGTCATTGCTGGTTGCTGTCAAGTCCATGCTGACTCCTTTCAACCCAGTGTGTAGAGTAGAAACGTGCTCCAGAAAGTTTTCAAGACTGTGACCTGCAGGGAGTGGATTGCCATGCCTGACTTCTGAGGTGCCTTTAGGTGGATTTGAACCACTGAATCTTGCAGCTAGAAGTTAAGCTACAAGTTTAAAAACCTTTCCAAGAATGATCAGTCTTTTCCCATGAACTGGGGCCATCTGACACTATGCCCAAAGTGTGTGAGATGGAGTTTCAGCATCCTTTTTTGTGCCACTCAAGACCCTTTTAGGGAGCTTTGGTGGTGTAGTTTATAGGGAGTTGTGTCGTTAACTCAGAGCGGGCGCCTCTTTTGAATTCACCAGCAGCTCCTCAGAAGAAAGATGGGCAATCTCCTCGCGTGCTGTTTACAGCTCCCAAACCCTGCGGTTGGTGGGGTTGACGAGAGGTTCCAATTTGACCACTTTTCTCCAATGAGAAGGCCTTTTGGACTAAAAATAGTCTGTCTTTATGTTTCTACCCTTTTAGTGAATTCTGAAAATCAGAACATTTCAAATTACTGTTTACTTAAAATAGACTCTGCTGCAGCTGTTGCCTCCTGTAATTCTTGTGTTATGTTTGGCTGATAAGAACCTTCAAGATGTTGGGTTCTGCTCACATAAGCAGTGGAGTGAGTAATGTGTGTGGCTTCAGGGACAACTAAATTAAAGTCAGGCAAATATTTGTTCAGCAAGCGCACACACATCAGTTCTACTGTCTGTGACCTTGCCCCCAGCAACCAACCTTTCCTGACTCATCTGAACAGTCATCTTTATTCACTCCCTCCCGGGGAGCAGGAACTGTGCTCTCTAGGACAGAGGGGGCCTGAGGTAGGTGGGCCGGCAGAGTTTGCCTGCAGCTGGCTGACCAGAGCTACACCTGCCATGATGTTTCCTGTCTCAGCTTCCCATTGCTGCTGAAATACAAATACCCCATGTGGCAACTTTTTATACTCACTGTCATCGAGTTGATTTCAGCTCAGAGTGCCCTTCCACTGGGTTTCTGTCTGAGACTATACGTTGCAGCAGGAGGAGACCGCTGGGTGGCTGGCAGTGTGACTTGGTATGGACTGTGCCAGCAGAGCTCTCCTTGAACGGCTTTAAAGGGAAGAAAGTTATTTCTACTGGAGCTCTCGTGGCCTAGTGGCAAGAAACTGTGCTGCAATCCCAAAGGCATATGGTTCGAATCCACCAAATGCTCTGTGGGACAATCTCCTCCCAATTAACTGCCTCTGAAAACCCACAGGAGGGTCAGCTATGGATTGGTTCTGACTCTATGATACACAACAACAACAACAGGGGCTAAAAGTCCAAATCAGGGTCTCAACCTCCTTCCTTATCTTGAAGTCCAGGCATTCCTTAGGTCCTCAGCCTTCCTTGACTTGTAGATAATCCTCACATCGTGCCCCTAACTCAGGATCTACCCTGTAGTGGTATGACCTTAATGGGTTGAGTAAGTTTGTATTATATGAGACTGCATTATGAAAGGTGAGTGATTACATTTTATCAGAGATTATTATATTATGCTGCATTAGATGCAGAAAAATCACATTATGCTGTTGCCTCCAGAAACCCTGTGAACCTGGAGAAGGGATGAAAGTCGTGCATGCAAATGTCAAGGACTTCCATTCATAGGGTCACTAGGAGTCACCTACGACTGGACTCGACACTCTACGGCACTTAACAACAACAGCAATCTGCTAGTATTCCAAACCACCTGATTCGATCTGGTGCAACTACTCCATGACCCCCAAGTAGATGAGTGTTTGCCCAAACCATTGAGAACTATAGTCAAGGTGACATATGACAGTAACCACAACAGTTTCCTGTACTGAAAGCTCACCATGGCTAGCCCTGGGCTGTTTCCCCCTGTGTCATTTAATTCATAATTATTCCTATTGTATACATGAGGTTCAAAGTATCAGCTAACTTGTCTAATGTCACAGCGCTGTTAGGTAGCATCTCATGTTGATAAAAAGGCCATGTCTTTATAAAAGTAAAAAGCCTAAGCAGTATGTTTTCCCCCAAAAAAGTGTGCATAGTTACACTCTCCTAAGGAAATCACCTAGAAAAATACACGTTAGAATTCAAGTGGAAAGCAAGCTGTGCCATTACAAATTTTAATTTGATACTTGGAGAATCAGTGAAAGGAGATGCACATGGGTCATGAGAGAGCAGAACGTAGGCACTTAAAGAATCACCTCAGAGTTTTGTGTGGTGCCCCATTCCACTGTACACATATCCGAAGGATCTTTGTCCAAACCATGCAAGCATGTTTTGTTGTTTAAAGTGTTTTTTTGTTTTTTTTTTTTTTCTTTTTTTTTTTTTTTTTTTTTTTTTTCTAAAGTGTTTTTGTGAATTGCTTGATTGGTTGTAATTCCATTCTGAGCCTGACATTGATATGGTCTTAAGAAACAGTTGGACCAACTGAAATTATTTTGGAGATTATAGTAAATAAATACACTCAATCTGAAAAAAAAAAACCCCAACACCATGTCTTGACCATTCACTGGGTTAAGATGATGATGATGTTTTAGTTATATGCTATTGAGTCAAAATAGACTCACAGCTGACCTTCCAGTAGGTTTTCAGAGACTGTGAACCACACAGAAAGAAACTGCCTTTGGAGCAGCTGGTGGATTCAAACAGTCTGCCTTTGCATCACACACCAGCTTATCCACTAGGCTGCCAGAGCTTCCTGGGGTAGGATAGTTCCATGAAATGCAATGACTAGGACTGCACTGGCCTGTCCAACATGCCTTTCAGTCAAACAGGAAGGTCTGGGTTTGGATTCATGCTTAAGTGACAGAGATGGGAAAGGCAGTTATCAGAAAAAAACAAGACCACTTTGCCTCTCAACAGGTGTGGTGGAGGATGTCTGTGTCATGGAGACCTGGAACCCAGAGAAGGCTGCCAGTTGGAACCAGGCCCCCAAACTCCACTACTGCCTGGACTACGACCTGCAGAAGGCTGAGCTGTTTGTGACCCGCCTGGAAGGTATTGAACTTACCTGACCTTTGTGGACTTGGGTGTGTCCATCTCTCTGGAGGAACAAGCTAGGTGGTAGCACCTGCAGCAACTGGAGTTTATTGTTGTTGATTGCAGTGAAGTTGGCTGTGACTCATGATGACCCCATGTCCAATAGAAAAACATCCCACCTGGTCCCAAGCCATGCTTTTGATTGTCACCATACCTGGATCCATTGTTTCCTTTCAGCCTATGGTACTCCTTCCAGCACGATACTGAGTAATGCTCTGTTGTGATCCTTGGGATTCCCATGGGCTAATTTTCAGTTTTAGATCACCAGACCTTTCTTTCTATGCTGTTTGAGTGTATAAACTCTATTGAAACTTGTCCACCGTAGATAACCCTGCTGGTATTTAGAATACCGATGGCAACAAGCAACCACAGTATTTATGTCAGCCACGGTGTTATGACAAACTGACAATGTGTGAACAAAGCATGTAGGCTTCCCCCCTCTCGTTTAACAGTGCAAATGGATATCCCTTTTTGGTGGCCCTCATTCCTCCAAATGATAACTCAAAGGGCCCAATTCCTTCAGTCTTGTGATTTTCTTGTCCTCTCAAGCCTTCTTGGCACCTCCATCCAGCAGGCGGAAGGAGGAGAACGAGGAGAATGGGAATTTATTTCTTAGGAAGTGGACTACGTCATTTCTCTGCATACCCATTGGCTGTGACTCAGTCTCATGGCCACGCCCACCTACCAAGGAGGCTGGGAAACGTGGGCTGGTTTTGTACCCAGTTTTTGGTGAAAGTTTGCTTGTTTTTGGTACAGGTGCTTTCAACACTGTCACAGGGCTTTGTGCTGGACAGGGAAGGCGTTCTGAGTGGTCAGGAGAGTTTCTACTTCTTTAGTCTCTGGATTCAAGAGCTCAGTATTCTCTGTGAGTGGGTGAGATTGTCCCTGATCTTGCTGTGAGAAGTCTCTTTACTGTCAGCAAATGAAGCTACGATTTTGCAAAAGGAATTAGCATGACAACGGGCCACTCTAGAGGCAGGAAGAATCGGTCTCTGGGATTTAATTTTCTTTTCTTAAGAGGATAATTTTCCATTTTATATTCTTTTTATGATTACTGAATGTTTTCATAGACTTCATCACATTCAGTCTTTATAAAGGTCCCATCTGAAAGGTTAGCAGGTCTAACAACATCAGGTGACTAGCCCAGGACCACTTCAACTCACTGAGACAGGACTAAGCACAGTTCCTCTGCGTCTCAGCGGGAGCTTCTGTTGGGCCTCAAGCCCTCTGGTCTTCATTTTTCTCTTCATGAGCAATGTCAGTGGCCACTTCCCACATTCTCACTGAGGAGTCATAAAAGCACCACAGGGGCAAATGTGTGGCTAACTCCGCACTGTCAATTGTTGAAAATGCCACATTCAAAACAGGATTCATCTGGCAACAGCCAGGTGATTCACTGGTCCACTTGCTGCTGTCTGGGGAGTGAGTAGAGTACCAGCTGCTGGAGCCCATTCTGACTCGTGGCGCCCTCAGGTGTTGCTGAGCAGAACTGCTCACCATAGGGTTTTCCAGGCCATGCATGACCTTTGGGAAGCAGATCACCAGGCCTTTCTTCCAAGGCGCTTCCAGGTGAGTTTAACATGCCAGCCTTTCCGCTGGGTGCGCAGCCTTTAAGCATTTGCATTGATGTTGAACGAACACATTTCAATGCCAGTAGGAATCTTCAGCACTTTGGGGCCATGTTAGATTCACGAGGTTGGAAGGTCTCTGAGAGGCTCTGAGTCTCGTCCTTGTCCAGGGAGGGCAGTGTGTCCTGACATGGAACCCATGAGTGAGCCTCCGGGTTTAACTACTGAAATGAGAGTCCACTGTGCACTGGGTGGTCAGCTCGGTGGTCTTACAGACACCCAAGGTCATGACCATTGAGCTGGCCCGCCATCCCCCATCCTCACTTGGCCCCATGTCTGTGCTGCTTCCCCCTTGCCTCCAGCTGTGACCAGTGACCACGACGGAGGCTGTGACTGCTATGTCCAGGGCAGTGTGGCCAGCAGGATGGGCTCTGTGGAGGCTCAGACGGCTCTTAAGAAGCGACAGCTGCACACGACCTGGGAGGAAAGCCTGGTGCTCCCCCTGGCGGAGGAGGAACTCCCCACGGCCACGCTGACACTGACCCTGCGTACCTGTGACCGCTTCTCCCGCCACAGTGTGGCCGGCGAGCTCTGTCTGGGGCTGGATGGGGTGTCCGTTCCCCTGGGCACTGCCCAGTGGGGTGAGCTAAAGACTTCAGCCAAGGTAGGTGCTAGAGATTGAAGAGTGTCTCCCAAAAATGCATGTCGTGAATCCTAATCCTGTAACGTATGGAAAGGGAGCTCTGATGGCCTGGTCCATAGAGAGCTGTGCTGTCAACCCAAAGACTTTCTCTCTCTGATGGTTCAAATCCACCAGCAGCTCTGAGGGACAAAGATGAGAAATCTCCTCTTGTATGATTTACAGCCTTAGAAAGCCACAGAGGGATCAGCTATGAATCAGCTCTGACTTGACGGCAATGAATTTACGTTCTGATTCCATTTGAAGGAGCCTTGATGGCACATGGCTAAGGACATGACTGCTCACTGAAAGGTTGTTGGTTTGAACCCAGACAGCAGCTCTGAGGGAGAAAGACTTGGCTACTTGTGCCCACGAACGTAACCGCTTAGAAAACCCTTTAGGGCAGTTGTATTCCGTCAGTGCGAGTGGAAATTGATCCCACCAAAACAAACAACAAAAACAGTATATAGCTTGGATATATGTCACATTTCTTGCTGTGTTCCCACGGCCATGTCAGTGTAGGGTGTGTTTTAAGTCAATTGCTTTTGAGATCAAAGGAACAGATTACACCGAGAAGAAAACAAACAGGATTGGACAGACAGATGCCACGTGGAAGCAGATACTCAAGAAGCAGAGACAAGGTATTTCCCCCAGAATGAACAGAGAGAGGCTTCCCTGAGTGCTAGTGCCCTAAATTCAGATTTCTAGCCTCCTAAACCACGAGGAAGTAAGTTCCTTGTGGTTGGAGCTATCCATTTGATCTTTTTGTTACAGTTAAGAAGCACAGGCAGGAGGGGTCACCTTCACCAGGAAAGGGAATGCCCATTGGTGGAGTGTGGGATGGCAGGACCACGCTGTCTCCTGGTAACTCTGGGTCAGTGCCGTGGAACAAGCTTCTGACACTGTCCCAGCTGGGGGTCAGGGGAAGGTTGGAGTATTGCTTTGTGCAGGGGTCTGTGGGATTCCTGGTGTCTGACCTTTGCTTTGCTTCTAGCTTGTTATGCAAACACTCTCCCCCACCCAGCCATCTGGAAGCAGGCCAGGTTATGTATGCATTGATTCCAGTGCAATGGCTGCACCATCCACACTTGAGTTCACTCTACACCCCATGTGTAACTACTGTGTGCTGGGCATTGCCGGGGAGATGAGCACCAAGGCAGGAGGACAGAGTGCTTGCACTCAAAATGTGCACCCTGAAGGGACAAACTGACAGGGACAGAGGACGAGGACAGTGATAGCTAACATACCACAAATCCCAAGACCTACGGAAGAGGGCTCATCAAAATGCACTGAGCTGACTGAGTGTTCTGGGAAGCCTCGTGTGGAATGGTCTTTGAGCTTTCAAGGTGCAGACAGGCCTGGGTCGTGGTCACTAGTTCTAGGAAGAGGCTCCATGCCCTCTGCTGCTGGGGGAGGAGGCATGCTCAGACACTGTGGTCCAGAGAGGGGGGCCAGGAAGCAAGTGCAACAGTGACTGTCAAGGCTACAAAATACTCTATGGGAACTTAGTCCTGGGGTTCAAGATTTCATTCAACCACCTGCACTTGGTATGTAGGAAAGAAAGCTGGGTGGCCAATTCCTCAGGGTTACCACCTAGGTAGTATTCTAGACTCCACCTGCCCAGCCAATTTCTTCATGAAACCTGCAAGGAGATAAGTGAATGATAAGGAGTTCTTCCCAGTCAATGCCCCTGCTCCTCTCAGCACCATGCCTTCACCCAAGCTGACCTCCTGTCCAGAATACCCCACTCTCATCTCTGCACCCAGTCTGCTTCTCCACCTTAGCCTCCCCCTTGGGCTTTCCATCTGGAAGTGGTTTCCTCTCCTCTGTGTCCCACAGTCTTTTATGCATGTGTCTTATTACACTCTTCCCTGGTGTCACGGTCAATGTCATGCGTTTTCTCTCCCTCACTCGTTCTTCTAGCACATTTCACATCATTCTGGGTCCAGGGTAGAAAGCAGGGGACCAGCCGGTGGTTTTTCTCTTCTATGGCTTATAGTTCCTTCTGGATGACGCTCTCCTTGAATAGTAATGACAGTAGTGTTCCCAGCAGCTGCCACTTATTTAGTTCTTATTTATTTTGTTCCAGGAACTATCTAAGGATGCATTAAACACTTCACTCCTCATTTAAACTTTAAAAAAAGTCTATTAAAGCTCCTTGTTTTGCTGATGAGAAAATCTACTCAAAGCACGTAATTAACACGGGACAGTACTGGGATTCGAACCCTGGTCTCTTTCTCTCCAAAGTACAAACTCCATATAGTAACCTTCTTGTTCTATCCTACAAGAGTAAGAGCCGAGCAAGGAAAAGAAGAGAAAGAATATTTATTCTGGGCAAATTAAAAAAAAACTATTTCTATTTCAGTAGCCATCAATAAAGTTTTATTTGAACAAAGCCAGGCTCATTCAGATACTTATTTCCTGTAGCTGTTTTGAGTTGAGTCATTGAGACCGATATGGTAGAGACCAGGATTTCTAAATTGTTACTGTCTGGTTTGTTTGAAGAAAAATTTCTGTTACTAGAGTAATGGAGATACCAGTAAGAACATTGGGTTGCCAGGAGGGACCAATCCTTGGAGAAGGACATCGTGCTTAGAAGGGTGGAGGGACAACGCAGGAGAGGAAGACCTCCGATGAGATCGATTGACACAGTGACTGGGGCAGTAATAGGGTCAGGTGTGTCAGAGACAGTGAGATTGGCTCAGCCTAGAACAGGGTTCGGGGCTATTGTGCACAGGGTCACTATGACTCACAAGTGACTCAAAGGCACATAACAAAAAACACAATAAGACCATTGTTTTTTAGACCTTTTTAGTCTGTGCTCTGTTGGCCTAGTGGGTGGGGCGTTACGTTGCCAACCCAAAATCAGACAGTTCAAATCTACCAGTTCTGCCGAGAAAGATGAGCAATCTCTTTGATGGTACATGACAGCAACAGTTAGTCGGGCCACGTGTATTACGACGCTAATCTACAGGCTGTGCGTCTCCAGCGGTTCAAGTCCACCAAGGGCTCTGAAGTCGAACCTTGTTCTGATTTACAGTCTTGGGACCCGATGGAAGATCTCAGGGAGTCAGATCGACTCCACATCAGCGAGTTAGAAACTATACCAGATTCCATGCTTACAACTTTACCTGAATTCCTTCATTGACCAAATGAGAGAGACACCATGACTCTGTCCATTTCCAGATGAGAAATGGAAGCTTAGTGCAGTTCAGCGGCCTGCCCAGGGTCACCACTGCCGAGCTGGTGTGTGAACCCAGGCCTGTCCACCTCACAGTCCTGTGCTCTCTCCCCTTGCCCTGCCTCCTAAGCACTGGCCCAGTACCTTTCCTAGTAGCTACCTCAGCTGCAGGAGGGGCAAAGCGCATTTCCACGCCCACCTGCTCCTCCTCTGGCCATGATTTCCTCCTCACCCCACTTCTCTGTCTCTCCCAGGCGCAGAAAGTTCATAGAAAAAATCACAGGCAGTCTCAGAGGGAACCAGGCTTGTTCAAAGCACACGCTAATTAGCATATGATCTGGGACTGGGAATCACAGATGGGGGCCTTGGGAGAAAGAATCAACACTTTGGTCAATTATGCTAATAAAGAAGCTTCTCGGAGAGGGGGGGGATGCAGCGGGTCCCTTGCTGGGCTTTGGGGGAGTATTGTGCCAGCCCCCCCACAGGGCTGAAATCCAGCCAGTGCCAGCAGGAGCTCTCCTCTTCCCCCTCCCCACTCCCCCAGCCCCCAAAGAGCAAACATCCTCCTCCCCCTCATTATTCAGTCACTCATTCATTCCACAAATGCCTTGTCCTGTGTCTACCATGTGCCAGGCACCGTGCTGGGAGCTGAGAACACAGAAGATGCAAGACCAAGTCTTGCCTTCAAAGTTCATTCATTCTAATAATTGCCACAGTTATTGTAGCTGCTGGAGACCGACTAGATCAGCTGTCATTGAGTCCATTTGGACTCTGGGTTTCCCGAGGGTTTCTAATGGCTAGGGTCTTTCACCGGTAGCTTGCCAGGCCTTTCTTCAGAGGTGCCTCTTGGGTAGATCAGAACTGCCAACCTTTTCGTTATTTTTTTTTTTAAATGACTCATAGCTGACCCTCCAGTGGGTTTTCAGGGACGGTGAACCACATGGGAGGAGATTGCCCGTCTGTCTCCCATGGAGCAGCTGGTGAATTTGAACCTCTTGCCTTCAGATTGGCAGCACAACTCCTTACCCACCAGGCCACCAGCCAAGCTTCTCATGCTGTTTGTGCTAACGAGGGACTTGTTATAGCTGTTACTTGCTGTACAGAGGTAACTAGTGGTTGCTGTGAAGCTGAACACTGTGACACTGACCTGTCAAATGTGTTAATGGTTACCCATGGAGGACAGTGTTTGGTGGAGCTCTCCGATTAAAACAAGCTTGGAAGCAGGAGTGGTATCCACTTCTGTAATAGCTTGCCTCCGGAAACCCTATGAACATGGAGAGAGGATGAAAGTCACACAAATGTTGAGGACTTTTATTCATAGGGTCGCTGAGTCACTTATGACTCAACAGCACTTAACAACAACCTTTATATGCGCTTTGAACACTGAGAACTGTGCCACATATATGACAGTTTGGAGGGGGAAATAGGTGACATTCTGGAGCCTTTTGCAGGAGAGCAAACCTCGAAGCCAGGATACCCACCTCCCAGGGCATTCCTGTGCCCCAGCCAGAGAATGATTTGAAAGGGTGGGAAGTCTCTACTCGCTGCAGCACAGATCTTTTTCTACCCTGGACCAGAGTGGGTTAAGGGATGTGCCAGTGTGTCCCAGTTCCAGCCAGAAGGCACTCAACTCCAAGCAGCATGTGCGTCAGCAGGGACCCGCAGAGTGACCCACTCCACAGGGAGCTAGAATGATTCACTGAGAGCTGAAGAGAGAGGAGGGAGGAGAAACAAGGAGAGGCGAGGAAAGGATGAAAGGAGAAAGGTTATTTCTGTCCACAGGTACTTTCAGCCTGCAGAATCCAGGGGCATGTCTGTTGGCATTCTCTGGCTGGGCTCTTCCAAAGGCCTCTTGTCATCTTGTACAAGGAAAAGAGCCCCTGGAGTCCAGGCTTCTCACCTGGGAGGAGTGAAGGGCTCAGGCCTCCCTCCACCCCATGACAGCCAGTAAACCAATCTATTCCAACTCAGGGCAGCCCCATGCTTGTGAGCGTAGAGCTGTGTGTTCCATAGGTCTGTCAGAGGCTGGGTTTTCAGACATAAGATTGCCAGCCCTTTCTTCTGAGGCCCTTCTGGGTGGACTTGAATTCCCAATCTTTCAGTTGGCAGCCGATTTTTGTCAAAGTTTGTCAGTGGCTTGTCCTGCCCAGGAATGTCAGACCAGTTGCCATAGGCTCTGACTTATAACAACTAATGTGTGGCATACAAAGAGAACTCTGCTCTAGAGAATTTCCAGTGGCTGGTTTTTCAGAAGCAGAACACCAGGACTTTCTTCCAAGGCACTTCAGATGGAGTGGAGCCTCCAGGCTTTCTGTTAGTAGCAGAGGGTGTTAGCATTTCCACCACCCAGGACTCCCTTGAGGCTACAGTTCAGGCCAGTGGGAGACCTCTCATGGAGGCCCTGAGGCACCAGGCATGTTTCTTAACTGTGACACAGGAGTGCAGGATCAGACTGTCCACTCAGGAAGCCTGAGAACATCACGCTGAGGGCCTGGGCTTTGCTATGAGACCAGATCGCCATCAAACTCAGCCCAGCTGCTTCCCCACTGTGTAACCCTGGGAACTACCCCTCTCTGAGCTGAGCATCAGGTTCTTATCCCTTGAATGGGAACAGGACTAAGATCCCTGATAAGGCTGTCGTCCAGATTGAGTGGCATAGCTCAGCCTTTTCCACAAACATTTATTTACGCCAGGTGCTGGGGAGACATAAACCAAAACCAAAAGCTTAACCCTCCAGTCAATTCCAGCCCATCGAGACCCTGTAGGACAGAGGAACCGCCCTGTAAGATCACTAAGGTGGTACATCTTTTTGGGAACAGAACTGGCTCACCTTTCTCCTATGGAGCACCTGGTGGGTTCGAACCACCAACCTGGTGGGTAGCAGCCAAGCACTGAACCACTGTGCCATCAACGTGCCAAGGGTGCGTCCAAATCAAACCAATCCCACTGCCATTGAGTTGATTCTGAGCCGCCAATGGGAAACCATTGGGTTTCCAAGGCTATGAGTCTCTGCAGGACCCTGCCTGTCTTTCTCCCACAGAGCAGCTGATAGATTTGAACCAAAGTCCCTCTAGTGAGCTGCCCAGCATGGTATTCACTACACCACAAGGTCTCCTTCCAGGGGTGCATGGTGGGAGAGAGATAGCTTTGGGGAGCATACAGTCTCACGGAGAGTGAGTGTAATTATAGCTAGCATATAGGAAATGTTCAGTGAATGTTCACTGCTATCATTCACGTAGAAGGATGGCTTATCTCTTTCTGTGTGATTCACTGCCTGTGAAAACCTGCAGGAGGGCCAGCTATGAGTCAGTTCCAACTCAGCGGCTCACAGCAACAATCATTCATGGAGAGGTTGACGCAGAACAGGGCAAGGCTTGGGTCTGCTGTTCATTGGGTCTCTATGAGTTGTAGGCACCTGGATACCACTTAGCAACGAGAAGAGCAACGTGATGACAGGTAAGGCACCAAGGACACAGGGCAGCTACTGCACACTGATGCCCGAGTCAAGGATGGAAACTGGCCCTGGCTCTGGCTACAGCTTTACAGAATGTCCCCACTCGGATGTGTCACAGTCCAGAGCTCTGGAGACACCTGGGAGGAGGAGGTACTCATAGGTAGGGGTCTGTGGGAGACAGTAAGTCCCTTGTTTTAAGTAGGAGGAATCTCTGGGCAATATGTAGACAATGTCTGCTACTCATAGGAAGGCTGGAGGATCGAGTTCAGCCAGAGGGGCCCCAGAAGAAAAGCTGGGCCATCTACTGAGAAATCAGCCAATGAAGGCCCTTGGAGAGCAGTTCTTCTCTCACCACAAGAGGTCGTTGTGAGTCAGAGTTCACTTGATGGCAGCTGTTTCACATTTTTTGGTTTGGAGAAGAAAGCAGGCCTGTTCTTGAACCCCACGGAGGAGCTGTGGCTATGGCCTGCTCTGCCGGGATGGCGCATTTGGGATGGTCATGGAGAGAAAGCCTGTTGCACCAGATGTTATATATAACTTTTAGTCTCATCCCCTCTTCCACTCTAGCTTTGGCCACCTTTCCCAATTGTGCAGTGAGGGGAATTCAGGGCTCTCTGTCCTGTCCCTGTCCCTGGGTGCCCGGGCTAGTGGCCACCACAATGCCCTGAGCTTCTACTTGTCTCTCAGTCTCAGAACAAGCATGATGCTTTGCCCACCTCCCTCCGGGCCCTGAGCTATGAAGGGCAGGAGTAATTTTTCATGTGTTCTCTGGGACGTCCTCTACATGGGGTCTGGCTGAATAAGTGGACAGTCCCCGGCACAAGGTCTAGCTGAGAATGGTGATGAGAGATGGGTGCACATTGAACAAGTGGAAGGTTATTTCATTTCTCAAGCACTAGCTCCTTTACGAAAAGGCTGGATCCGCACTTTCACCAGCTCCCCTCTGCTCCGGCTCGGGCCGGGTGCCACCATGACTGCAGTGGAAGGAGCCCAGTGGTGTCAGCTCTGTGAGGTCACAGGCAGGAGGGAGGAGGGAGGTAGGAATCATTAGGAATACTGTAGAACATTCTCTCTCTGAATTCCGTCAAGTCAGAACCAGCTCGTAGCTGACCCTTTGTTGGGTTGCACGGGAGGAAATTGCCCATCGTTTTCCTGCAGAGCAATCTGGTTTGAATCTGGTGAATTCCAACAGAAAGGCACTGCCTTTAGGTTGGTGGCACAATTTCTAAAGACTCTGCCACCAAGCCTCCTCTATATAGCATTGTGGTCAAGTCGGAACCGACCCACGGCTGACGCTCTCACAGGTTTTCAGAGGCAGTAATTGCAAGGGAGAAGATTGCCCATCCCTTTCCCATGAAGTGGCTGGTGGAACAGCACCACATGCCTTTAGGATTACTGTGCAGATTCTTACCACCCAGTAAAATGCTCTCATGAAATATAGATGCCAGGTGATTAAATGAAAAAAATGCACCTACCAAGTCCTTAGTGAAGTCCAGAAGCTATGACTTTAATGGAAGCTATAAAAAAACCAATTACTAAAAAAACCACAAAAAAAACCCAAACCCACAAAAACCCCCAATTACTGCTAGTAAGGTGTCCATTGGTTAGTTTTCAGAATTAGATCACTAGTCTTTTTTTTTCCTAGTCTCTCTTCGGCTGTAAGCTTGCTGGAACCTAGCCACCTTGATCAACCCTGCTGGTATCTGAGATACAGGAGGCCTAGTTTCCAGCATCACAGCAACATACAAGCCACCACAGATGGACAGACTGAGAGTTTAGCAGTGGGACATGGAATTACCTTTCCCTAAAGCCCTAAATAGGGAGCCCTGGGGTGACCTAGTGATAAGGAGCTGTGCTGCAATCCCAAAGGCATGCAGTTCAAACCCACCAGTTGCTCTGTAGGAGAAAGGTGGGCAGTCTCCTTCCATGTGATTAAACTGTCTGAAAACCTGCGAGGGGTCAGCCATGAGTCATTTGTAACTGGACAGTATGCAACAACAACAGAAACAACAGATGCCTCAAGAGACTCGCCCTGAGGCCAGGCAGTTGCCACACATTTTGAGTGGTAGCTCTTTTCTTAATCTATTTTTTATGTTGGAATATTGGGTGTAAATATATTTGGGAAAACACCATGTTTCCTTGCAAGTGCTTGCATCAAAAAACCTCATTGTTGTTGAGTGGGAACCAACTCATCGCTGCCCCTCCGGTGGGCTCTCAGAGGTTATAAATCACATAGGAGGAGATTGCCCATCTTTCTCCTAAGGAGCAAAGAGAATAGCTGTGTGGTTAACCTGCACCCCTCCTCCCTCCTGCGTGACAGAGAAAGCAGTGCCGATGGGTCAGCAGCCCCCTGGTCTCTTCTGCAGGTGCAGAGAAGCCGACCTTGATACACATTGTTATTGTCAGGTGCTACAAGCAGAAGTGGCATCCACTTCCTAAATAACCTGCCTCCGAAACTCTATGAACTTCGATAAATGTCAATAGTTGTAGAGGGGCTTCAGGCCTTTTCCTCATAAGGTCACTATGAGTCGTGCTTGACTCGAAGGCAGTCAATAACAACAACAACATAAGTTGATTTGCGGCTCACAGTGGCCCCGTGTGACGGAGGAGAGCTGTCCCACAGGGTTTTCTAGGCGGGCCTCCTTACAGAAGTGCTCTGGTGGCACTGTAGTCAAGTGCATTAGCTGCCAATCAAAAGGTTCGCAGTGGGAACTCACCCATCTATAAGCCCAGGAAATGCTGTGGGGCAACTCCGCTTCATCACCTGAGTTGGAGTCTCCTTACTGGCTCCTTTCAACACCTTTGTGGCATCCACCTGGCAGCGTTTCCGCTAGTGTCTGAGCATTTAAGGGACATACTCCTTAATGCTCCTCACACACAATTCCTGGGTTGACTGAGGCAAGTTTAGTTGATTGGAGTCACTTTGGAAGGAGACTCCTTCGCTCTCTCCTTCTGTTCCAGGAGCTGTCTGCAGGAACCGGAGAAGTCCTTCTGTCCATCAGCTACCTCCCGGCTGCCAACCGCCTCCTGGTGGTGCTGATCAAGGCCAAGAACCTTCACTCGAGTCAGTCTAAGGAGCTCCTGGGGAAGGGTGAGTGGGGTGTGAAGGAGGGAGCAGGACCCTCGAGCTCGCGCTGGGAACAAGGCAGAGGGAGGCAGTTTGGAGGTAGGTGAGCAGGGGGTCGACCAGGAGCACATTTTGGTGTTGACCCCCGCTGTGTGCTGTCCTCTATCCATGCTCATGCTCTTGGTTTCTTCTCGTTGCTACTGTTAGGTACTGTGGGGTTGGCTGTGACTGACAGCAATCTTATGAACCACCGATTGAAATCCTGCCCCGGCCTGCACCGTCCTCTTGAGCTCTGTCTCACTTAAACCCATTGCTGCAGCCAGTGTCAATTCATCTCATTGAGGGGCTTCCTCTCTTTCACTGACCCCCTGTTTTTCCCAGCATGATGTCTTCTTCAAAGGACTGGTGCCTTCTGACAACATGTCCAAAGTATATGAGACAAAATTAGTTTCTTGGTGTTGCTATAACAGAAATACCACACTTAATTAGCTTGGGTGAACAGGACTCTAATTTCCCAGTGTGGAAGGTGAGAAGTCTGAATTCAGGACATTGGCTCTAAAAGGAAGCCACCCCCCTCTGCTGTCCTGGGGGAAGAGCTTCGATTCTTTTTTAGCTTCTGGCCTTTGGACCCTTGGAAATCTTCATGTGGCATGATATCTGCCATCTGTCCCTGCTTGGTTCTGTACCTAATCTGTATATATTATTATATTATTCATATTATATTATTCATGTTACATTATTCATGTTATGTTATTCATGTTATATTATTTATATCCTATTATATCATATTAATTATATTTCTTTTATTATATTATCTATGATATGACATGTCTTCACAAGCCATTCACGTCTGGGTCAATGTGACTCACCAGTGACCAGGTATGAACCACCTGGGGCTGCCTACCTTGGAGGTTCACCGGGAACAGAATCAACCATGGGTCCCGAGAAGCCAAGGGTCAGTCTGTAGCCAGGGGGTGGAAATCCTGGACTGTTAGGAGAATCCTGAAGCACCCCTTGTCCTCCAGACCTGACTAGTCCCACCTCACAAGCAGGTGTTGTGAAGCCCTGATTCTCAGCTTTTTCAGACCCATCTCAGCGAGCCACCACTCCACTCCCCATTCTCACCCCAGACCTCCACCCACTCTCTTCTCAAGCTTTTGCCAATCTGCCACCGACACACAAGCCGAGTGTGGGTGATAGAGGAGGCGTGTGGGCGTGCAGGCTCAGATTGGAGGTGTAAAGCCTTGCTAAATAAGCATTTCCTCAGCCTTCTGAAGTCTTGGTTTTTCCTTCTTCATATTCTGGCTCCTGTCTCAAGTCTTGTCAGAGCAAGTAAACAGCATCGTTAGCTGTGTGATACCTGGACTGGGAGCCCTGTGTTGTTAGGAGGCATAGTCAAGTCCATTTCCACTCCAAGTGACCCCGGGCAGAACAGAATGAAACATGCTAGTCCTACGCTGTCCTGACAATCACAGCTGTACTTACACCTATCACTGAGCTGCAGCCATAGTACCAAGCCTTCTCATTGAAGGCCTTCCTCTTCACTTTACCATGCTTGATGACCTTTTCTAGGGGCTCATCCCTCCCGATAAAATGCCTGCATACATGAAATTGCCACCTTCTGTCTAAGAAGCTCCCTTGCACCACCTGTTCTAAACTTTGTTTGTTCTCCTGGGAGTCTATGATATATTCCATAGTCTTTGCCAACACCGTAATTCAAAGGCATTGATACTTCTTTTACCTTCTTTATTCATTGTCCAAATTTTGCCAGCACATAAGGTGATTGAAAATATGTCTTAGTCATCAAAGAGACACCCTTTGCTCTTCAGCACTTCCAAGAGGTCCGTTGTAGGAGATTTTGACCACTGCAATATGTGGTTTGATTTCCTGGCTGTTGCTTCCACAGGCATTGACTATGGATCCAAGTAAAATGGAATCCATGACAACTGCCATCTTTTCTCTATCATGATGTTACCTAGTGATCCAAGGATCAGACAAATAAATACAGCAGAAACATGCAAATAAGTATTTGTCAATGTGTTCATATTCTTTGAGCAAAGGAACCTGGGTGGGTGGAATTGGGAAAGTTGTTCTTGCTGATGGATCCCTGGGCTGAAGGTCAGAGCTCCAAGCATCCTTTGGAGCCTCCTTTTCTCTGCTCCTTCTTCCCAGCGCCTGCAGGGCCATTACTGCTCACCACTTTGTCTCCCAATTTTCTCTTCTGAAATAACAAACTAATCACCCAGGGGTGGTAATTACAGCAGTAAATACAGAGCAGCGATTATTCTCTCATTAGCTTCAGGAACCTTGACTAATGGAAATTTGCAATCCCAGTTTTGAGCCTTGGAATGTTCCATGAAAGCTCATCCAGTGACCTGTTTATGATATTTTTTATTGTTGGTTTGTTTTGTTTTTAGGGTGTTTTTTTTGAGGTGAGGGGATTGCTCTCTAGGTAGAGTGCCTGTGGGGACCACATCAGTCACTCTGCTATCAGTTTCCATGAGAAATTGGGGTTCTCACAGAAAATTTACCAAAGACCAGTGAGAACTCAACCAACTAGCAGGAGAGCTACTAACTCAGTAATAGAAGAAAACTCAGATAATCTCAAGAGTAGAAAAAAGCTCAATTGGAGGAACAGGGTATGTTGTTGTTGTTAAGTGCCGTTGAGTCACAGGCGACTCATAGCAGCTCTATGAAGGAGAATCCTCGATGCTTGGGTGCCTTTCATCCTCTCTCCAGGTTCATAGGGTTTCCGGAGGCAAGCTATTATGAAAGTGGATACCACTCCTCCTTCCAAGCTTGTTTTAATCACCCACTCTCTGTCCGCATTAACCAGCCATTAACGCATTTAACACATCAGTGTCACAGTGTTCAGCCTCACAGCAACCACAAGTGACTGCGGTATGGCAAGAGGGTATGAAGACCTGAATTTTTCTGATCTGAACTTAAAATTGATTGTTAGACTCCTGCCCATCTTCCTGGGTCTGGTTTAATGTGAGGATATGAAGGGCTTCTGGCAGTGGCTCATTTTGGGGTTTGTTGTTATGTGTTGTCAAGTCACCTGTGACCCATAGTGACCCTATGTACAGCAGCTCTGAAGCCTGCCCTGTCCTGAGCCAGTCTCACTGATTCTGCCCCCATTTCCCCAGTTACTATATCAGTACATCTCATCCTGGGTCTTCTTCTCCTGCACCATCCTTCCACCCTTCCAAATATGATGTCCATCTCCAAGGACTGGTCCCTCCTGGCAAAGTGCCCAAAATATGTGAGATAGAGCTTCTAAATCCTAGCCTCCACAGAGAAACTTGCTTCACCTTCTCCGAGATAGACTTATTTGCTTTTATTGGCAGTCTATGGTATGTTCAAGATTCTTCTCCAGGACCACAACTTGAAGGCATTGATTCTTCTTTCACCTCATCTGTCTGATGAGAGCGTAAGTAATAGCAAGTAATGGCAAAGACCATGGCCTGGATTAGGTGCACCTTCCTCTCTAGACAATATTGTTGCTTTTCTGTACTCTAGGAGAGATCAGAGATTCATTCTTGGGTAGTGTGTTGTTATTATTAGTTGCCAACCAGTAAACTGTGATTCATGGTGGACTTTATATACAACAAAATACTGCCTGGCCCTGTGCCATCTTCATGGACATTGGTGAGCTCAAGTCCATTGGGTGCCGTCCAACCTAGGGATTCATCTTGCAATATCATATATCCATAGAGTTTTTATTAGCTGATTTCTAGAAGTCGATTACACAGGCTTTCTTCCTAGTCTGTCCCAATCTGGAAGTTCTGCTGAAGGCTATCCACTGTGAATGATCCTATGTATATTTGAAATATTGATGGCCTAGCTGCCAGCACCAAACCAATATGGAAGCTACCACCAAACAGCACACTGACAGCTCCATCAAAGGTCCTCATCTTAAACCACCCAATGGCCAGGAATAGATGTTAGATGTATTGTCTCTTTTCCATACTTGAGTGTAAGTTCTGTGGAGGCAGGAATTTTTACATGTGACCAGTATCTGGCATGTATTTCTCTTGTTGGTAAGTGAGACTGAGTCAATTCCAGGGTGATCCCAGGTCACAGCAAAACCCTCCCAGAAGGTTTCCTTGGCTAGAATCTTTCCTGGGAGCAGTTCACGCAGTGGTGGGTTTGAACCTCCAATTTGTCAGTTAGCAACTGAGTGCTTACCCACAGTGCCACAAGGGCTGTTTCTGGCATATGTTGTTATTGTGTACAAGTTACCCCTGTACAGCAATGGACAGACCAATGCTATACCACTTAGAAGAATGTTTGACAAAAAACAGTTTAAACCAAATGGCTTTTTAAATAGGAGGCCTTATCACATTACCTCGCGCCTCCCTTAGTGAATCAACCTTCCACCGTACTGCTCACCAATCCCAGCCAACAAGCTTCTGTATAATTTCTCCTCCATAATAACATAAACAGCTACAAGAAATCTAATTGTAATAAAAGGAGTTGGCTGTTGGCTTTTGGCTATCTATCACTTTTTCATGAGACTCTGTGTGCGTGTGTGTGTGTGTGCGTGTGTGTGTATTTTTTAACATATACCTCCCTAGTTAGTATTTTTCTCTTTATTGGTTAACAATAAATTGAGGCGATGAGAGTATTGAGAATTAGGAATCAGAAATTAAATCAGAATATCAGTGCTGGGGATGGGGAAAATATTTACAGCCTCAGAAACTTGATGGAGGTTTGCATGAATCTGAACCAGGTTTGATTTTTTTCGTTTGATAACTGCTTACTGAATACAGAACCACGGAAGTAGTGGGGATGGAGAGTGGACCTCAGTGTAGACCTACGCAGACTTTGTCTCTCTGTCCACAGGAGGGAGTACCCTCCCAAAGCCCTCATGCTGGGCTCACTTTCAGCTCTTCTCTCTGTCTCTCTTGCCCCATCCTTCCCTAGATGTCTCTGTCAAGGTGACCTTGAAGCACAAGTCTCAGAAGCTGAAGAAGAAGCAGACGAAACGGGCCAAGCACAAGATCAACCCTGTGTGGAATGAGATGATCATGTTTGAGCTTCCTGATGACCTGCTGCGAGCCTCCAGTGTGGAGCTGGAGGTGCTGGGCCAGGACGAGGAGGGCCAGAGCTGTGTCCTTGGTCACTGCAGCCTGGGCCTGCATGCCTCGGGCTCTGAGCGCAGCCACTGGGAGGAGATGCTCAAGAACCCACGTCGGCAGATCGCCATGTGGCACCAACTGCGCCTGTAGAGGGCTGCCCGCCAGGCGCCTCCCATCTCCAGCCCTGTCTGTCCCTTCAGCCCCAGCTGTCCCTTGCCTCCTCCTCCTCCTGGACCCCCTCCTCATTCTGACTCCCTGAAGACTGGGGCAGATGTGTTTGCAATGACCAGGACCCTAACCCTCTCTCATCACACCCCCATTTTTAAAAACGGATTCAGGCATCCACCATGAACAAGGTAGGGCAAGGCTTGTTATAGATGTGCAGCATTTGGGTGGCACAGAGGGTGCATTTTACCCACTTCTGTGTTCTTGGGGGACAAACGGAACTTATTAAACACAGCAGGTTTTGCAGATGGGGTCAGACTTGGTGCAGAGGATGGCTGACTTGGGGAGCAATGGATGCAAAGGAGAATATGACTCTTTGAAGCTAAGCTTTCCCCAAATATGAGGAAGTAAATGTGCTACCTTGGATCAACTCATAAGAGCCCTGCTGGCACAGTGCTTAAAGCAATTGGCTGCTAACCAAAATGCCAGCAGCTAAACCCACCAGCCACTCCACAAGAAAATGATGGGGCTATCTATCTTCCATATAGATCACAGCGTCTGAAGCCCTGTGGGGCAGTTATGCAATGTGCCATAGGGTCTGAATGTATGAGAATAGACTTGATGGCATGAGCTGGGTTTCTAGTTGGGTTGGCTTAGCTCATGGAACTAAAGGTGGTCACAGTGGGATGAAAGCTACTGTTAAATGGAGCTTCCACTCAAAACAATATGCCAGCAATTCTCAAAACTTGCTGTCAAGTCCATTCCAATCATGTTGACTCATCTGTGTCAGTCTAAGACGCCTCTGCATAGATTTGAACCTTCGGCCTTGCAGTTACCAGTTGAGTGCAATAACCATTTGTCCCACGGCTCCCAAGACTCCCCCCCCCAACCTTTGTGTGTGAAGAGTCATCTACAGATTCTCAGGCCTACCGGGAAGATTTCCAAGTCAGTATTCCCAGCCGAAGCCCAGGAACCTGGATATTTAAGAAGCACTGAGTGATTCTGATGCAGAAGTTGGAGGAATATACACAACCCTCGATGGGCCTCTGTACCGTGGGATGCCTCTAGCTCTTCTTTATTTTCATTGTTAAGGTTTTAATGTGTTGCTTTCAGATTCTCTTCTTGGATTTAGTTTTGTGCTTATTTTTTTTAAACTAATTTTATTACTTCATCTCAAAATCAGCCTCTATTATACTTGGGGAGAGACCCTTTCTGACAAATACAGGTGGGATTGTCTGCTGGAATTTGGGCTGCATTCTGACCTCTAATTTTCAGGCCATAGGCATCACCCAGTGACCCAGAAATAAGTCCTTCTCATTTCTTCCTTCTAGCCACTTCAAGAGGAATTCTATGAAAGTTTACGTGTTCACTTAGTCTGTTCCATCTAGTAACATGAGGAATGTTAACTGGAAAATGAAAGCAAAGTCTTGCCAATTGGCTGTGCACCCTAACTTTCAAGACCTATTGCTTAAATTGAGTACTGGTGGCCCAGTGGTAAGGAATTATGCTGCCAACCCACAGGCACACAGTTCAAATCCACCAGCTGCTTCACAGGAGCGAGATGGGCAGTTTCCTCCCATGTAATTTACTGCCTCTGAAAATCTGCTGGAGGGTCAGCTAGGGGTTGGTTCAACACAACAGCACACAACAACAATAATTGCTTAAGCCAGAGAGCCCCGGTTGCACTGTTTATCCAAAGGTCATGCTTCTCAAGTGGTTTGAATTCACCAGCGACTCCTGGGGAGAAAGAGGGGGCAGTCTCCCCCTGTGTGATTTACAGCCTGCAAAAAGCCTCTGCAGGGTCCACTATGAGTTGGTTCTACTCAACCACAATGAGTGGAGTTGATTGCTTTACTCAGAGCCCTGGTGGCACAGTGGCTAAGTGTTCAGCTGACATTGGAAAGGTTGATGGTTTGAAACTGCCAGCCACTTGGCAGGAGAAAGATGAGGCTCACTGCTTCCATATACATTACAGCCTTGGAAACCACTATTGTTAGGTGCTGTTGAATCAGCTACAGAAATGCCTACTTTTCTTATAGGATAGCGGTGCATCAGAATCAATAACAAAGACTTTGAGTCTTCATTTATTGCTTTCATTGGTAAGTAACTGGCAGCTATTTGTTTGTTGCCACTTTGTCATTCTAAGTAGACTTCCACGTTGTTCATTATACTTAACTTAGGGGCTTTGCTGAGTGGGCATCATACTTCCGCAGGAACCAGAGTTCCTGAGTTTTGTTGTCACTGCCTTTTCAGAACCTCATTTTGGCCATCTGTGAAATAGGTCTAATGAGACCAGGGCTCCACCTCTATGGATGATGTGACAAATAAAATTGTGCTGTCTGGCTAAAAATGAAAAAGCAAACATAGCCTTTGAGGCATCCAGAGATCATCTTCAAGTTAAATTAATGTCTTTCTCTTCGAGTTGGCAGCTAACACCGTCTGGAAAGTTCCAGAACCATCCCAAGCTGTGTTCAGAACAAGATTTTACATTTGGCTTCCTCAGTGCTGGATCAAGACCCTGGGCATTGAGATGTCACCCTAATCGTCTGAGCAAAGAGAGAATTCTTAAAGGAGCTGGATAAGGGTTACACTCATTCCTCCGAGAGATCAAACCATTCTTGTCTTCTCCCTGAGAATCTGAGTAGATAGACACCTTGTAACGTCAGTCATTTTCATTATTCTCTGATGACACAGAAAACACACCTAATGGAAGACCTTAGTCATCAGTATCCAAAACCTGCTCCAAGTCTTTTCATTTTTTAGGTGAAATATTTGCTGGTGGTTTTCTATGACCCATTTTCGAGACCCTCTTTACTGCACTGGTCTCTCTCCTTTCAGGTTGGCCCTGCTGAAACAGAACTGAATATCCCTTATGTAAGCTCATCCACACGCCGTTCTTGGTAACCATCTGCTACCCCAAACCAGAAAAAAAATATGGAGTCTAGACTTAAAATCAGAAAATAGCTTCTGCTTCCTTATAAACCTATTCACCCATCTTACAGGTAGAGCAAAGGAGATTTGAGGAGGGCTGGGCGGGGCTCCTGATCCCAGAATGTCAGCTCTACCCAGGGTGATCCCATCCTTAGGCATTCATGTCTTTGAATCTCAAAGATTTCGTCTTCCAGAATCCAAAATAAATGTGGTGCCTGGTTGGAGTCCAGCTCCTCCACAGAACATCTTGGGTGTCAGCCATCACCTCACTTGGCAGGACGCACAGAAATGAAATGGTTGTGCAGGGACGTCTGTTGTCTCCTGGTATATTCCAAGCACCTTAGAACTAAGCTGGCTTATGGATGCTCAGCAATGAATTAATGAATGGAGGACGGGTGAGGAAGTAGACAAAAGATACAGCAAATGCCATAAAAATCTGAATTTTCGGTGAAGACCTCAGACATCTCAACAGTTGGCCTAGAAATGCATGATACGGAGTACTCCTGTTACCTAATGACAATTCTCAACAACTGGGAGCACTAGTGGCCTAGTGGTTAAGGTGTTGCACTGCCAACCCAAAGGTAGGTGGTTCACACTCAGGGGGAGGAAGATAGACAATCTTCTTCTGCTTAATCTACTGCCTCTGAGAAGCTGCTGGAAGGTCAGCTGTGAGTTTTGACTGGATGGTAGCAAGTTGAGTTTTTAATCTAGTGCTCTCTTTGTAAATTAACAAAAGAAAAGGCTATCATTGCTTTGTGTTTCCACCCAAAATCCATCTTGGTGAGTTTTAAATCACGCTGAGATGTCAGAATGCCCAGCCAAAAACCTCTGCAGTAATCCTTGAACCAGTTGTGATGGCAATTACCCCTGAATGGGAGTCACTGAGCCTGAGCGCACGTGTCTGATCATTTCTGAAAGGAAAACCTTGTACTTTGTCAGGAAGCATTTTCTAGGAAAGGCGTGAAGCAGAGGTAAAAAGCAAAGTGAGAGACCATCCTGTACTTCGTACAGAAGGTAATGTGGTCTTGTCATGGATATAGCTGTAGGGGGAGAGAATTAGGAGTCCACCCTCATTAACTTGAGACTCTCAATTTTTTTTTTTTCATTAAATCAATATGCACTTGTCGAGTGCCTGTTGATCAGACCTGTATATGTCTGTTCACTTCACCTCGAGACAGGACTCGTGGTCCAGGTGAAATGACAGATCCATCCAAACACCACCGTGGAGAAAGGACTACAGGAACAATTCCTCTGGGACTTGAAGGAGTCCTGGGTAGAACGTGGCAGCTGTCTAACCCACACTGGGGTGCAGGCCCCCCCAAAGAGAGACATCCTCCTTGTGATTTGTTTCTGCCCCCTGTGTTTCCTGTTGTCAAATGCTAAGTGTGTGTTTGTTTTGCAGTCATAACCTGAAGCACAAAAAGACGCATGGGACATTGTAATCATGTCTGGTGTCACACTTCGGAGCAAAAGCCTTGCTGTGGTCAATAAACTATTTCCAACAAGGTCAGCTGGCTGGTGTTTCTAGTTGGTTCCCCCCCTCCCCATTTACTTAATGCATTGGACATACAAACGTGCAGGAAAATAGAATGTGATAACCACTCATGACCCGCCATGAAAAGCAAACACTTACAGAACTTCATATTCACTAAGGACATCCCCTCAGCGTCCTTGATGCAGGAAAGCACCATCTTGAATTGAGTGTCTCTTTGCTGTTTATTTCTTTCTATTTTTCCCTGGAATAGGTAGACTCTAAATGCTAGGTGAACCAGATTACCCAGTAAACAAGCATATGCAGGTCCACATGTGCCTTCTCACCCCTCTGCATCCCCCATCACTTCAAAGATGTGGTGAAATCCATGTGAAATTACTTACCATAGATAAGTGCAATGCAGCCTTTGCTTACCTGCGTCAGTGCAAGCTGATGCGTACTGTGCTTACTGGCTCACTAGAGGATGTTTCTGTGCCTTTAACACTTATTCAAATGGTATCATGCTATTTTCTCTTCAAAAGTTTGAGTTCTATCCAGTCAGTTATCTGTTGATACAGTTTCTTTTTCTGATATGGATAATATTCTGTTGTGTGGGTAGACCACGATCCCATTCTCCTATTCATATACATGTAGATGATTCGAGATCTCTGTCTCTATATCTGTCTCTATCTCTCATCTGTCTATCATCTCTATCT